TATTTGCCTGTCAGCTTTCTGCAGACTTGCAGAATAGCCAAAATAGTCACAGGTAGATAGACCCTCAGGAATAACTTAGAATAGCTAAAATCTTTCAGAAAATTTCCCATGTTGATTAGATTTAAGCTATTAAAAATTAACATTTCAGCTTTAAAATTATTATATGAGGCCAACTCCAGTTTGCATAGTATTCTGTCAAGCCACCTAATATTTTACAAAATTAAACTAGTTGCTTCCTTATAAAAGGTAGGTTTCTACATAACATTTGAATTTCTCGTATGCCTTAAAATCATAGTGAAATGGAATTTGTTTTCTTTTTGTTATTAATTTTTTAGGTTAGTTTACAAAGTAATGAGTAGACTTCATGATGTCTTTTTCAACCAGTTTTTCTTCTCTTAAATATTCCCTACTCAGCTTATCACTCCTTTCTCCGTGGCTGGACTTGTCAGTCATTTTTTCCTGGCTCTTCTTTAGCGCATTGAGTACAGTCAGAATCACTGAGCTATATTCCGTATCATTTCAGCGCACGGCCCCCTGTTCCCCAGACTTTTCCTGTCTTAACTCTGTCATCACACTTAGCCTCTGCAGCATTGCTTGAAAATTTTAATCTTTGCACAAGGCTCCTCTATAGTGTATGAATTTAATAGTCAACAAATCTTGGTGTGCTGCTCTGTGTATTCTATTTTTTTTTCGTTTTAGGCTTTTAAATAATTTATGCTTATTCTTCTGAGTCTTGATTCCTGTGGCTTATCTGCATATCACCTTGATTCAAATGAAGTTAATTCCTTTGCTGTCCTATAAACACCCTTGTTCATATTGACCCTTCTTACAAAAGACTTTCCTTCTCTCTTCATTTGTACTGAGGCCCAAAGTGCAGTCTACCAGGGCTTTTGGAAGTTGTAGTGATCTTTTGGAAGTGATTTTTGCTGTTTAATACATTCTTAATCTAAGATTAAAACTGCAAAAATCATGGAGCACAGCTCTACACTATTTTGGTACTTCTCAGTAGAAATTAGTGAACTTCATCTACATTTGTATTTTATTTCCATAATCATGCACTTCATAATGTATCGCTACAGAAGAGGAGGATTACACTTTGTTTAGGATTTTAATTTTTCAGAAGTATGAAATTTACATATTGTTTGAATTTTGGCACAAGCACGAAGAAAATATGTTTATAAATATATATTTGTCTTCTCTTGTAAAGTGGCTGCTGTATTTCGATGCAGTTGCATTAACTGGGAGTCTGGTAGAATTTAACAGATAGTAAATCTGAGAAATCTATGTTTTCTTATGTCTTAATCTAGTTGTAGGTGATGTAAGAAAAAAAATTATAGTGTGCACTCTACCATACCCCCTCTTCAGAGCCATGGGATGTGTCATGCCCGGCTTCTGGCATACCTGCTGAATGTGACCAGGGTATATCATTAAAAGTGAATCCACTGCATGTTATGTTTGACTGTGTTAACTGCATAAAGAAATGTTTTGTTTTCTACATGGAGGTTAACTGTCCAAACACAAATTGGTTTAGCAGTTTGAGATGGTTTTCTGAATAATTGTAAACTAAAACGTTTATATAATACCTAAATATGCTATTAATACTCATAGCTTTATTGAAGTATCATTTGATTTGCAGGTTCCTTCTCCCATCCGTGGCTTAAGAATATGAAGTCTGTCCCCATGTACCTCTGAGATCCCATGTCTGTTTATTAAGAAGACTCAATTCTAGCTTAGCTGGGAATAGTATCACTGCTAACCAATAATGGATTTTTAAGAATAAATAAAAATTTGCTTATTATAGATAATATTGAAAAATTAAAAATAGTAGAGAAGGGAAAGGACCTGGAGTCTGCTCAGGAACTCATGCAGACATTACCCATGTACATCAGAAGCAGCCCTGGTCCATCATGCTATTTACAGGTTCTCCTCATTTTGGGGTGGTGCTCTAAGATTATACTCTTGGAAATGATTGCCCCAGAAGAATTGTAGTCTGTTGACAATTTGTCCCCCAATACTCCCTCATTTCCCCAGGGAGAGTGAGGCTCTTTTTTCTTTTGGCTGTTGGTAAGGTGGGATTATCTAATGCCTATCTTTTTCTTGTTGTAGTTAACTTCCTTGGGTTGCAGTTTTCCTTCCAGAACTTTCTATAGGGCTGGGTTAGTGAATATGTATTGCTTGAATCTAGTTTTCTTTTCTCCATCTATAGTAATTGAAAGCTTTGCTGGGTATAGTAGTCTGGGCTGGCATCCATGGTCTCTTCATGTTAGTAGAATATCTATCCAGGACCTTCTGGCTTTCAGAGTTTCCATGGAGAAGTCAGGTGTAATTCTGATAGGTTTGTCTTTATATGTTACTTGATCTTTTTCCTTAGCTGCTCTTAATATTCTTTCTTTATTCTGTATATATGGGGTCTTGATTATTATGTGGCGAGGGAACATTTTATGTGGCCCACTCTATTTAGTGTTCTGTAAGCTTCTTGTACCTTCATTGGCATGTCTTTCTTAAGATTGGGAAAGTTTTCTTCTATGATTTTGTTGAATATATTTTCTGCCCCTTTGAGGTGGTTTTCTTCACCTTCTTCTATATCTATTATTCTTAGGTTTGGTCTTTTCATAGCGTCCCAAATTTCCTGGATGTTTTGTGTTAGGGATTTGTTGGACTTAAGATTTTCTTTGGTTGATGAATCAATTTCTCCTAGTGTATCTTCAACACCTGAGATTCTGTCTTCCATCTCTTGTATTCTGTTGGTTATGCTTGAATCTGTAGTACCTGATGGTTTGCCCAGCTTTTCTATTTCCAGCCTTCTTTCAGATTGTGGTTTTTTTTATTGTCTCTATTTTAGTTTTCAACCCTTGCTCTGTTTGAATTGTTTCTTGCAATTTTTGCTTTGTCTTTTCGTCCATTTGTTGCATTTTTTGAATTTTTTGATTTGTTTTTTTCTTCCATTTCTTGAATTTTTTGCTTTGTTTTTTCTTCCATTTCTTGCATTTTTTGATTTGCTTTTTCTTCTATTTCTTTCATTTTTTGGTTCGCTTTTTCTTCTACTTCTTTGAGGGATTTTTCTATATCCTCTTTTAAGGCCTCTAACATTTTCATGAAGTTGTTTTTAAGGTCATTCTCTTCTGTTTCATTTGCATTGGAATGTTGGAGTCTTGCTGGTGTGGAGTCTCTAGAATCTGGTGGTGTCATATTTGTTTTTCTGTTGCTTAGTGTGTTTTTGTATTGTCTCTTTCTCATCCCTTCTTCTAGTGGGTGCAGAAAGAGCCCCTTACTGGTCTGGTGGTTAGGGGACCAGAGTTCCCTTTCAGTGGGTACAAAGAAGTCTAATACTCTGGTAGTTCTCTTCCTGCCCCTAGTCCTGGTCCCGTGGGTGGAGAAGAAGACTGGGAATCTGGGGTACGTAGGCTCCCAACTGGAGGGGAGACTCAGTGGCAGTCTCCAGGCACTGGAGCATGGGCCCAGAAGCAGAGGCCGAATTGCCTGGGCCCGTGGGTGGAGACGAAGACAGGGAAACTGGGGTGCATAGGCTCATGCTGGGAGGAAAGGTTTACTGGCTTTCTGCAGGCACTGGTCCAGTGGGTGGAGAAGAAGACCAGGAAATTGGGGTGTTTATGCTCCCGCGGGGAGGGGTGGCTCTCTGGCAGTCCTCAGGCACTGGAAGGCAGGCCAGGATACAGGGCCGGGTTTTCCTGGTCCTGTTGGTGGAAAAGAAAACCTGGAATCTGGGGTGCATGGCTCCCACAGGGAGGGCAGGCTCTGTAGCAGTCCCCAGTCACTGGAAGGCAGGCCCGGTTACAGGGACCCAATTATTTTCTAAATGTTTTCATTCCACAGGATTGGGCAAACAAGGTAGGGGTACGTGGGGTATAAGTGTGTGTGTGTAGTGGGGCACTATTCACCAATGTCAAGATCTGTTGTGGGATATTATCTTAACTGAGCAAAGATGTGTTACCATTTGTTTATGCTGCAGAGTATTACTTTAACTATGTGAAGGTATGTTACATTTGCTTCTGCTGCCTTTGTTAACAAGGTAAAGATGTGTTACATTTGTTTAATTATATAAAGATGTATTGTTGTTTCACCTTGCCTGCCTAAGGCATCTGATTAGTCTAATAAAAAGCTGAACAGCTAATAGCTAGGCAAGAGAGGGATAGGCGGGGATGGTGGAGAAAGAATAAATAGGAATCTAGGAAGACCAAGAGAGGAGGAGAGAATGAGGGAAAAAGAGAGGGACATACCCGGGGTCAGAAGCCAGACAGTCTCCAGGCAGACACAGGAAGCATTGAGTAAGATATACAGAAGGAAAGAAAGGTAAAAAGCCCTGAGGCAAAACATAGATAAAAAGGAACAGGTTAAGTTATAAGAGCTAGCAAGAAACGAACCTAAGCTGAGGCCAAACATTCATAACTAATAGTAAGACATGATTTGGGAGCTGGTTGGTGGTCCAAAAGAAAGCCTGGTACAAAGACCTGTCTGGCTGGGAGTTGGGGGTTGGCAGTGGCTTTCTTTTTTAACCATAAGTACAGGACAGTGCCTGAAGCAGGTAACCAGGGGTAGAGGATCTCTGCAGCTCCTTCTTTCCTGTCTTAGTGACCTTGGTTTTATGAGGCTTCAGCTAAGTGTGGCAGGGAAAAGCCCAGACAAGTCTTTTCCCCCCTAAAACTAATATGTATTCTGTGGTTTGTGAACTTCTTTAGATTCAGGTGTTACCGGCTGATCTTGGTCTTTCCTGGAACATTTTTCCTGCATGTTTTTCTGAATCCTCAGAAAGTGATAGTGGTTGCACAGTGAACTCTCAAGGCACAGATTTGAGACTATAAAGAGATGTATCTTGATTTGTACCTTCATCTTCTAATGTCTAGAGAAGGTTTGGTGCTTTTAAGTCTGGCAGTAGACTGCCTCGGGGTTGTTATTGCGCTACCTTTATGACGGGCTCTCTATAAAGAAGGGTAGGAGTTTGGTCCCGTCTGAGTTGACCTCATACAGCATGTCTGTTTCAGATAGCAGCAGCAGCAGCGGCTATGTTTCACTTCTTCAGGAAGCCTCCAGAATCCAAAAAGCCCTCTGTACCAGAGCGAGAAGCAGATGGATTTGTCCTCTTAGGTGAGTCTTTTAAAGAAACAAAATCCTAGTTAGATGAATTGTTTTAAGAGTTAGTTTGGTGATTTTACGGTTGATTTGTAAACTATGTTTTCCAATTTCAGCATAAGTTGTGTGTGTGATTTAGAAAGCCCTGTGGATAAGACTGCTTTGCTTACCCTTCCCTTTGACAGTCAGGAGTTTGTGCCTTGCCAGCCAGAAGAAGGGCTCTGTCAGCCCAGTGATAGTGTCTCTGTCAGCCCAGTGATAGTGTCTTGGAAGCGGCAGGTACTCATTGCTTTTCCTCCCACCTCCTGGGTTTGCAGACAGCAAAGCTTGAGGCCCCTATTGTGTTCTGAAGTTTGGCATTATATTCTTCTCTTGGGAATTTATTCCCGCTAAGTCTGGATTTCCAACCCCTGTTTCTATTTTTTTTTAATCTATTTAAACTTAAGACATATATAGAAAACTTTGCTCAGTTTTTGTTTATACACAGTTAGCAATGGCATCATTCTCTTTGTCACTGTGTACTCACCTCAAGAACACGACAGTGGCACACTTGTGTGAGCAAAGTCGCATACAGTGTCTAGAGTTTTTAATGGATCTTTTTACCTTCTACCTCTTCAGTTAGCCAGCCTGGAATACCAGAGACAAGGTCTATGCATGGAAAGTGGCTCTGCTTTTGTATGAGCTCTGGAATCTTGATCAAGTGTTTTGTTGGTTATCTTACAGCTGCTTTAGTAGGTGTCTTCTTTGCAAGTCTCCTGCCTCAGCAGGTACAGTTCATCTGCCGTGGGCTGCCTTTTCTATTCCAGGAAGAGCGGAGTTAGAAGCATCTTTGATTGAGACTCGGAATTCTCACAGGCTTCCAGATTTGCTATTTCATGAGGGAATTTCCAAGACTTAATTACTCTAATATGCTCAGTACCAGCTGTTCTGTCTGCTATACCCACCCTCTAATGGTACATTTTCTCAAGGCTGACATGCTGTGTTTTGAGCAAGCTTTCCCAGGACCATCTTGGACTGAACATGATTGATATTTCCAGGACTGTATGTCTCTGTTTGAGACTTAAGAAGAGGGATTACTTCTATTATAATCCTAGAAAAACAATAAAATACTTAGTGTACTTGCTATTACAACTTGTTCAAATGCCCCCGCAAGACCAAAACTCCCAGCATCACTGATTTCCTTACAAAAAAAGAAAAGAAAAAAATGTATACCTGGTGTTCTGTGGGCTTAGTTAGCTCTCCTAAAATGTCACGCTGTTGGTCACTATCATCTCCATGCTCTCAGTTCCTGCCTCCTCTCTCTTCTCATCTGTTTATCATCTCCTTCCTCCCTCAGGAGCACTGCACAGGTTTACAGCTAAGTACAAATATGAATGCTGACTCTACAGCCAGAGCCTTTGGTGTGACAGCCCAGCTTCACAACTTATTAGGGTTTCTAGCTTTAGGAAGCTATTTAATAATCTTGGGTATCACTGAGCATGTTATCAGTACCTACCTTATGGGGATAGTATGAAATTAAATGAATTAATGTGCAGAAAATACTTAGAATAACCTGTATGGGAGGTGGTACTGTCACGGTATACAGAGGACTTAATTTCCCAGGTTCTTCTTGCATAAAGAAAATTGGAAAATAGCCTGGGTAATCTGTCTTTTTACTCTCTGTACTGTTGCAGTCTTAAAAATGCTGCACTGTCAGCATTTGAAAGTTTTTAATTAAACTTGTTTAGGTGATATAAAATGAGAGGCATATGAAGTTGTGGTATACTGTTGCCAGTAGGGTGACTGTAGATAATGATACTGTTCTGAACGTATCAAAGAAGTGGAGGAGAGGGGTTAGTGTTTTCACCATGTCCTCAGTTTTAATCTAAGTCATTAGTGATATTTTAAGCTAAAAATGTTAATGTAAAATATTAATGTCAGACACCTCTCAGCATTCAAGAACTTAACTGACTTTCCTGATGACAGTCCTGACAGTTACTAGGAATATTGTATTGTCTTTGAAAAATATGAAGAACTTTGAAATGTATTTATTCTGGGTAGTTGCCCCTTTTGTCATGTCATTCTATAGCAGTGTCTATATAGCATCTACTTTAGTCTCAGAGCATTCCATATGAAGATACTTGGAAAAGATAAGTGGTACACATGAGGTACTTTTAATGGTTTTATTATTAACATGGTGCCATACTCATGTATTCTGGAATATGTACTAGTTGCTTTTCAATGGCTGTGATAAAATACCACAGCTAAATCAACTTATAGGAGAAAAACTTTATTTTGGCTTATGGTTCCAGCGGACTGGATGTCCATAGCAGCATGGAAGGCATGGTGACCAGGGGTCAGGTTGGGAAGTGGAGAGATCACATTTCAACTTTTCAGTCTGACCCAGGACACAGGGGGTGAGAACTGCAAGTCAGGGGAGGACGTCAACCAGAACCCCAGTTCTTCCTCCAGCAAGGATCCAGGTCCTAGACTCCCATAACTTCCCCAAATAGTGCTGCCTACTGAGGATCACGTCTTTAAATACATGAACACAGGGCTACATTTTTTAAAGTTATTTATCTTTATTTTTATTTTATTATTATTATTTTTTAAGTTTAATTTTAGTTTAGAAACAAGGTTGGTTCACAAGTCAGTTCCAGGTCCCTCTCCCTTTCCCTCCCCTCCTCCCGTGCCCTCCCCCCAACCCCCCTCATTATCCCTTCATTTCCCCAGGGAGGGTGAGGCCCTCCATGGGTGTGTCCATAGTCTGTCATTTCATCCAGAGCAGGGCCTAGACCCTCCCCCAAGAGTTCAGGGTGAGAGTGCATCTGACATTGTTGGATGGGAGTCCAAAGTCCATGTGTATACTCGGGATGTATACTGATCTACTGCCCAAGGCTCAATAGATTACCTAGGCCTCCTCACTGACACCCATTCAGGGGGTCTTGATCAGGCCACAGGGTACATTTTGATTAAAGTCGCCCAGTAGAGCCAGGTGTAGTGGCACATGACCCTAATACTAGCACCCTGAGAGGCAGAGACAAGTGGATCTCCGTGAGTTCAAGTCCAGCCTGGTCTATAAAGCAAGTTCCAGGACAGCCAGGGCTACACAGAGAAACCCTGTCTCTTAAACAAACAAATAAACAAAAAACCCAAACAATTCAATATATATTCACATAAGATTTTTAAACTATTGTATGAACTAGATATATTACAGGAAAAAAAAAAGATTGGTTTTGTTTTCTTTCTTCTGGCTTCTGAATGATAAAAGTATATGACTTAGAAAAAAATCTCCTGGCAATGGGTTCTCAGAATTGGTTAGATATCTCCTTACTGACCCCTATAACCTGTTTCTAAGAAGGTCACAGTTAGTTAAGGCTAACAATGACACCCTTTCTCTTCTCCCACTGGAGAAAACCTTTTTTCCTGTAGGCCTGTATTCCTGTTTAAGGCTGCCTTGATGTTTGGGCACCAGGCAGAACCAAGGCACTTGTGTTGATAATGGGAATATCTAGAGTATTCATAAGCAGTCAGTTGGCTCACACTAAGATCTCTAGAACTTTGGGCCTTTGTAAATCGAGGAGTATGCGGAATAAGAATACAGGGAGGGTGGGGCTCATAGAAAAACATCCTTTCCCTTGTGTAACCAGTATGTAGTCACATAAGAAGGCAAGGGTTCATTCAGTAATGAAGTTGAAGTAATCCTCCAGGGTGCTTACTTTACACAAAAACAAAGTGCAGTTTTCATTTGCATCACTGGGTGGCGATTTTCCACAGCCTTGTGCTACTGTTGAAAAAGCCAGCAAGCATGGCACTGTTTGTAATTACCAGGGCCTTCTGTTATGACACATTTAATTGTGCTTTTAGCACATTATCTTTAAGTTGATTACAAATCTACTAGTGTAGTGCACAACCTTGTAGTTATTTTAAATTAGGAAAGGGTATTGCCTAGATGTTGGCATATAATTCTATCTAAAACCAGGACAAAGGCATGCATTAACTTATTACGTTGTAGCAAAAATAGGGAAAACAGTAGTAACAAAAATCATAGGATATAAAATGAAAGAAAATAGTGTAGATTATTGTTGTTGCCTCCACTAATATTGTTGACCAACTATTGAATATAATTTTGGAGCCGGTAGAATGAAATTGGGCAAGCAGACTATTAGACAAAAAGAATTGGGTTACAATACAACTGAAATCCATTGCATTCTCCAGTATATGCAGACACTTCTTAAAGTAGAGCACAAGAACTCTTAGTTTCCATCAACTACTTGTTTTATAAAACTGAATTTTAAAACTATATTAGTAATTCATAGTAGCTTGGGTTTCATCTTTATGTATTGGCATTGAAATACATATTTTATTTTCCCCCTTTACATAGCTTAAGTATTAAATCAGATATTAGAAAGTAATTGGTTGTTTTTAAGGGTCTTTCCAATTCCATTCCTCATTCTAGGAATCAAAGCATGTACATATACTTTTCAGTAAGACCATTGTATTTTTACTTAAGACTCTTAAAAGGTAGTCTCTTGTCTCTATGCTTTCCTTTTTTTTTTTTTTTTGGAAAATGAATGCTTAGCTGTGTAGAGTGAAAATATGCATTCCACAGAATGGGGGTAGTAACTTTGACTCTTATGTTGAGCTGCAGGTTTTAATTATAAGAGGAAAAACTAAATGGCCTTCCAACATGTGCCTCCTGTACCTACAGAACAAATGCACAGGTCTTAAAAAGTGTACTCATGGATTTAAGAAGTAATTCAATCTTGTCCTTATACAATGCTATCCAAAAAAACTCAAATACATTTAATTTAACATAATGATCATTCTATATTTTTACTCTTGACCCTTAAATTCCAAAGCAAATGTACAAGGATTGTTTTTTTTTTGCTTAACTTTATTATGTAATGAAAGATCTCATTTTCCCACTAAAAAATGTGGAGCTGTGTGTAATGGATGGAATTTTTACAGTTAGTGCTATATAATTCCAGTCTAGCTGATAATCCAGCAGCTTTTTAGTTCCTGGAGTTTAAGAT